ACAAATTTACAGTAAAATGTAACTATACTTTATGATATACAAGTGTAACGGCCAAATTTGAAAAATATTAATTCTATAAATTGAAATATTTAAAATGTACCCTTCATTCCTACTGGAAAGTCACTTCGTTTTACAGAGGAAACTTTCATGAAATTTGCATTGTGACAATTATTTGGCTCAAAAAATAAAAATTTTTGTGTCTGCCTGAGGCAGACAGTTAAAATAAGCATGCAAGGAAAGTCAGATGTGCAAAAGAATATGAAGGAAACTGAAGACTGCTTGTCTCTGCTAAAGGGTCAAAAAACAAAAACAAAAAAATTTAAAACACTACATGTACCAAACAATATCTGATAACCATATGCAGCTCCCAAGCTGCCAAATTACGACTCTAGAAAAACAGTAACTAAGATAGAGCTCAACCAAAAACGTGATGTTACCTAATAAGAGACACGAATAAATCCTATCACTCAGAGAATAGAATGCAATTATTTCATTGTTATTTTCATGAACACTCTTCAGTTAGTAACCTTTCCTTACAAATTTGGAGTATATCAGTACAATAACAGTGACCTGTGCAGTCTATTGATTATTGACATCTCCCATATGGCCTTAAAAACTGGATGGTTCAATCCCAGGTGGGCAACAGAGAATCTCACTTCTGACTCTATAATGCTCCCAGGCACAGAGCGATCCAGTCTTTCTGAGGCTCAACGGTCTTTCCTCAGAAGAGGCCAGGCCATTTGGGGCCCTAATGTGGTGGGGGTACAACAGACTGTGATGTTAGGATATTAGGGCTGGCCTGTTATGAGCACATTAATTAACAGAATCTGATGAAGTACATACCAAAATGCATGGGTAATTCATTTTAGCAATCATTAAAGGCACAAGAAAAGAGAAAAAGTCGACAAAGTCAGAGAGAACAATAGGTCAACAGCCAAGATGTATTTACCTAGACCCTCAGGACTTTATTGTCCTGAAGACTGAAGTTACACATCATTGTCTCAAAACCGTGAGGAACAGCAAGGGGTTTTAATTAAGAAAAACTTCTGGTGTTCTTTTGAGTTGACTACAGTGTGCAATGCTACAGGCATCCTTTTCCTACCAAGGATGCAAGAAAAACTCAGAAAAGGGAGCCATTGTTCGGGCAATGAATCTAGAAATCTATATACTAATATTTTTTCTTTTGTAGACATACTGTGACCTGTCTGAGGTTCCTTAACTATGCATATTAAATAGTGACTTGTTAAATACAATTTTTCACACAATCTCCTTAAGAACCAGTAACAATATAATGTGCACAGATTGAAGCAAATATTTGTAACACTTTTTAAAAAACAGACATACATGTTTCATAGTAAGTTTTACCAGGGCTGGATTCTTCATATTTCTAAAATGCTGTAACATACTGATTTCCTATTCTTTGCCACAAGTAAACAAACTATGAATCTCTAACTGAAAATTTATTTTTAGTTTTATCCTTTTGATATAAGTGAATCACCATCATCAATAACTAAATAAGATCTAGGAACCCAAGGCATATATTAGTACACAATCTCTGAAGCATTAATAATAATAATTAGTATAATAATAATAATTAGTATATTTACTTTGTACTAAATACCATATGAAAGGTATTGCACCAAGGGTTATTGCACAATTTCATTTAATCTTTTCTGAAATTTATGAGGTAGTCACTGTTACAATATCAACTTTCAGTTAAATTAAACAATGCTTAACAAGGAACTTGCAAAAGATAATGAAGCTAATGAGATAAAACAGTGGCTCACAAGTCCCTCCCTCATTTGCCTGTCTGTCTTTCTCTCTCTCTCTTTTACAATATATTCTTAGTGATATGTAAAACATGGAGAAGGTAGCCTTCAATTTAGTAGTAAAGCATACTAAAAGATTCCTAGGTTTTATAAAAATATAGCTTATCTTCATGAAAATTGATACAATCTATCTACTGTGATAACTTGTGCACTTCTCTTGCTATAAGGTCTGTAAACCTACTCACAAATTTTAAAAAGTGACAAACATTCTATGGTGAATGTTTCATCTATTCAAACTCAAAAATCACAGGCATATTTCTGTTACAAGGTCGTCAAAGATTTCCATTTGAAGGAAAAGCCTACTTGAATCCTGACATCTACAAAACATAGAGATAAAGGATATTTAAAATTTTAAGAAAATTCTGACAGATGGTTCTTTTTAAAGAAATATGGAAATACAATGAATGATTAATATCATAGGTTTTTCTATGGCCAAATGTGAAATTTCACCTAGGTGGAAGATGCCAATCCAAAGTGGAATAGATTGGTCTTGCCATATAATGTGAACAGTAATATATACAGACACCATTGCAGCTCACCTAGAATCCAAACTAGAAGTTGAAATAAGATATGTGCATGTCACACCCTAGCTTCCCGAACTGACCCAAGTTGGTCATGTCCAGTTTACCTACTCAAGCATCTCAGGAAACACATATACACTCTAGTATTAAAAACCTACATATAATTTCTATGTACTTTTAACTTTTGTAATTTTATTAGCAATTGCTGTTTAATACATCCCTTACTGATAAAATTTGCTACCATATTAAGAAAGATGAATAAGTGTCAGTCTAAATCTAAATGTTTTCTAAAAACTTACTGAAACTATTGTGCTCACTAAATTACAATCTGTTAAAACTTAGTCTCTTGTTTCTTTTTTAAAAAATCTGTTACTATAAAGATCTAAGATTCCAATTATTCTAACAGAAAGGATGCACATCTACAATAATTTATCTTCTGTTAAAACAGAACAAATGCTTATATTCTTATTTGATTATTTTATTTTAATTTATTGCATGTGGGACTGGAACCAGGGCTTCACCACGTTAGGCAAGTACTACATTATAAGTAAAATGTTAAATCAGTGTTGGATGCTGGGGATGGTAGTGCACACCTGTAATCCCAGCACTCGGGAGGCTGAGGCAGGAGGATTGCTGTGAGTTCGAGACCAGCCTGGGCTACATAGTGAGTTACAGGTCAGTCTCAACTACACAGTGAGACCCTGTCTCAAAAAACAAAACAAAACAAAAATCAATTTTGGAGCTGGCTGGTAACTTGAACTATTTTACTGTCTGGGAACATGAATCTATAGACCAGTAGATGAATGCGTGACCTTCAAAGCAGAATCAGTGAGAGACATTCAAGCATATTGTTTGTTTAAAACTTTACAAATGATGCTAACACAATACATTATGATAATCCTTATTATCAGTTACAAATTAGTTTTTTATCATCCAGAGTAAATATCTATAAAATATAGACCCTGTCTAAAAACAAAACAAAACAAAAATCAATTTTGGAGCTGGCTGGTAACTTGAACTATTTTACTGTCTGGGAACATGAATCTATAGACCAGTAGATGAATGCGTGACCTTCAAAGCAGAATCAGTGAGAGACATTCAAGCATATTGTTTGTTTAAAACTTTACAAATGATGCTAACACAATACATTATGATAATCCTTATTATCAGTTACAAATTAGTTTTTTATCATCCAGAGTAAATATCTATAAAATATCTTCATGTAAACAAAATAGTTGAATATGCTTTCTGCATTAAATATTTATTTTGTAGTTCAGATTATTTTACACTAGAGAGAAATCCTTAAATACTTAGATTATTCTAAATTATCTATCTTTAAATTATAATGTTTATGTCAATTTTTATTCTAAAGCACAGTTGTAGAATAGTTTTGTAAAAGAAAATTAATTACTCTATTGCCAAGAGAAATTAATTACTTAATCACTTTAGTTTATATAAAATATATTCCAAATAACTAGCTATCAATAATTTTCTTATTCTATAATAAGTATAGAAAATACTGCCCTTGAGTGTAAGTACCAAAACACCTATAAAAGCACAATTAATTAAAGTGACATTTACAAGGAAAATAAATGGAATTGTGTGCCTTTGTGGTATAGTAACTTCACAGGGGACATATTTTCATACAATTCTTCTGTATAAGTGACATGAAATATTTGTAAAAAGTAAGAAAATGAATTAAAATATAATTTACAAAGGTATGCACTGAGTAGTGTACTCCCAATACCTGAAAACCAAACTATACTGAAACCTGCAATATGCAATTTAAATGTTAAATCAACTTTTTACTAAGATTATCTTTTTGGAAATTCAATATAAGTAGCATTCTATTTCATTTCAAAACCAATTTCCAAAGGAAAAAAAAATCCCAGAGTACTGCATAAAACTAATTACTGCAGTATCATAGCAAGTTATAACTCAAATGCTTTAAGTAGTGTTTGGTGTTCAGAAACTGCATAGACAAAGTTTAGGGAACCAATTAAAATAATAAGCATTTAAATAACACTTTCAGGACATTTTTCCACATGCATTTTAGACGTTCAATGAATTATAGGTGTCCAACAATTTATCAAATAGTTTGGTTAAGATGTTGTTAATAAACCTGTAAGTGATACATTCTTAGTTAACTTTCTGCTGTTTTTAAAAATATGTCCAACTTTCCCCTCGAAAATCTCCAATGAAACCTCACATGTGAGCGATTGGAGCACAACAGATGCAGTCATATATATAAAACCAAAAAATAAATAAAAGTGGCAGCACAGTAGTACTGAACGATAAAAGCTACAGTTAAAGAAAATAAAAAGGAATCCTCGTGTTAGAGACAGAACACGGATACAGATGTAAATTAAAGAACACCAACAAAGCAAACCAAGGAAGCAGCATGCTCCAGCAGTGTGACCACCTACCCATCTGGGCTGCCGCTCTCTGTGAAAGGTCACGCGGAACACCAGAGCCTTAGACAGGAGTTGGCTCTAATGAGAAAGGAGTCTCCCACCATCACCCTTGTGCCCATAAAAAGCTATCATCTCTAAGCAAAAATGCAGACAGAATAACCAAAATCGCTGTCGCAGACCACGAAACCGCAGGCACCTGTATCAGCTGAACATTTCCCTCCCCGCTCCAGGCTTACCTCGTAAGACCAGACGCACTGAGTCCCACCAAAACGGCGAACGCAGCGTCCCACCTCCACGTCCTCGTGAGCCGTGTACATCTCTCGGAGGCATTCGCCGATATGCGGCACCATCCTCCTGAGAACCTCTCGACTGAAGATCATGCCGGGTCCCCCCATGCAGAAGTTCTCTCCGGGTTCCAGTCCCAGTTTCCCCAGTTCCTCAATGTTTCCCAGGCCGGTCTGCCCCAGGTACAGAGGCTCGCTGCTGTTCAGGGACCTAAGGAACTCTTCTAACTTATCACCTAGAAAGAGAAAGGCAAGGATCACTACTCGCATTTCATAATCATGTAGAAGGTACAAGGTAGAAGACAGAACTTCGAACACTCTCTTTAAACACACTGTACTCTTTACACAACTGAAAAGAAGAAAAACTTCTCATAATATTCTATGAGGTTAAAATTATTTATAGTTGCTAATTAAACCTCAAATAAAATTTTATCCACTTTTGGTCAACATCACCACAAACTGTAGCAAATCTAACAATCATGTTTTCAGTAAAAAAGATGAAAGAACAATGAAGAGAATAAAGACAGGTTTCTACATTTGCAATAACAAAAAAATCCAGAAGTATAAAGTAATATTAAGTATTGATATTTAATATGGTTTGGGCAGATGTTGATATCCAACCATTCATTTTTTTCTTGATAATTGATTCACTTTTATGATTGCCATCGACCAAAGCTTTAATCACACGTGTCTCAGACACTTTTGGAAAATGTGTCCATGAAAGGTATCTGGAAATTTAACTTGAGAAAGCATCATTTCAGGAAAAAAAAATAGACATTTGCTAGAAATGAAATAGTGTGACTGGCGCCACTTAAGAGTTGCTAAGTTCATCGGGAAAAATAATTTTAAAATAACACGGTGTAGCTAAAATGCCTTAAAAGCGTCTGTCCCTTACGAAGTGATAGAGCAGAATAAGGAGAGTCACCTTTACCCGCCCAGTCAGCATCCTGCCCATGGCTTCTGATGAGCAAGGGCCTGTGCAGGCATTATCTTGATCACGTGCCTTGCCCCTGGATTTCACTGAGTTTCAGCTGAGCAGTACTGAGTTCTTAATACAAAGAGGATTTCATTCTTAATAGAAACTGGAAAAAGTTCTGAAGGACAATCTTCCAAATCATGAAAACAAATGACAGAAGCAGGGACTGCCCATACACTCTAGAAATTCTCTGCCAAGCGGGACACTTCTGCCAGGAAACCTTTCTGATTTTCATCGGACTCATAAGACGAGGGGTTTATTGTCTGATAGTGTAACTACCACAAGCATAAAAACAGCAAGTAAAATTAACTCAAGAGATATGACACTGGAAACAAGGGATTTTCTTTGAATTAGAGCTGACAGCATTTCTCAGAAATGTAATCCTAAGACATCATTCTGTGTCCAGTGACCAACATTTTCTATCCCAACGGAGACTACAATGATTCCTCATCCCAACACACTTTGGAAAAAAACCTCTATTTGTAACACTGTATTAGGAACTTGTGCCCAAATAGGCCCGTTGAGTTGTCAGTTTCTCCTGGCACTACGAGAAAGACGCTACCCGATGAAAACAGTGAGGCTACCAGAAGAGAGGCACAAACTAAGGGAGGGCTGCCCCCCTTTGACCAAGAAGATAGGAAATGTGGAAAGCACAGAGGAAGCCTCTTCCGTACGAGCCACTCTTTGCATCCTTCCCCATCTTCTCCAACTGTCTGGACTAAAAGGATTTACTTTTCTCTAAGGAATTTCTATCAGCTGAGTTTAAAAATTCTCTTGGCAGGGCTGCATTCACTCTGGGTAAAGGACCGCACCTCCTTTAAAACTGGCAAAGTTTTCTCCCGCTGTGGCTGCATGTGGCTCTGGGTAGGGCACCCAGCCGCTGCCTATCGCTGCTGGGGCCACAGAGATAGGCGGGAAAGGAAGGACCCATGCCAGCCTGTGCTCCTACAGCTCGGAGCCCCGGAACCTAGAAAATCCCCTCCTTTCCCATCGTCCATCCCCTGGGGGTCTTACTGAGGCGTGGCAGGGCTGGAGGGCGGCTCGCCACTGCACTACAGTGGGTGGAAGCAGCAGCGCCTGAGCGGCTGGGGACGAGCAAGGATCCCCACTGTGTGGCAAGTTAGGCAAAAGGAAAGGCAGTGGACAGGGAAGGGGTCTGGAGCAGCGAAAATGAGTCCTCAGTCCCAACCGCTCCGAAACGGTGGCAGATCCGCTGAGACAAAAGACCAGAGGGAGAAAGCAGAACACTGCATCTCCAGACCGGCCCTAGCCTGCACCCAGCTTCTCCGCTCCCTCTACCGAGGACACGCCCCTCTGGGCCGATGTGGGAAAAGACCACCGCCGCCGGGGGCTTGCGGAAGAGGGCAGGACCGGAATGGCTTTTGGTTTAGCTCTGAGGCCCTTTTCCTCACCTGTCTCACAGGGGAAAGAGCAGGGGCACGCGCGGGGGGGGGG